TATATAGACTGTGTGATTTTGTGTCTTGTGTTTTAGAAAACCAAATCTTTTTGTAATCTTGACAAAAAAATATTGTTGGAAAGATCTGACAGTCCAGGTTCCATATTTGGTGACCGTTTTGTAACAGAAGTGATATTATGACAGAAATTGATTGATCTGTGACAGAAAACTGCATCAGAAAAATTCAATAGAGTTTGGGTGTAACCCAGTTCTTATTTCTGGTATAGTGCCCAATCTGCTATGTGTCTTCTTTAAAAAGAGACCAACCTTAGGTCTGTATCACACAGCGTTCAGGAACTACAATCGCGTTGTAACAAGCATTGATATAAACAAGAGTTCTGTTTTCAGTGAATTTATACCCCAAAGGGGATACAAACAAATAAAATCAAAAACAAGAATATGAATAAAAAATGTATTATTTGAGTCCCAATAAAATGGAAAATAGCAATAAATTAATTTGCTGATGTCTCTTTATGGTTTCATCCTAAAGAGTGGTGCAGGAAAGAACATACATACAGTATGTGACCCTGGAGCACAAAACCGTTTTATAATATTTATTTTATATAAAAAAAAATAGTATACTAAATTATCTTTACTGTAAACCTAAACTTCTATAACTTTTTTATACTTACTTTTTTCAGCAATAATCTGCTATGTGTCTTCTTTAAAAAGAGACCAACCTTAGGTCTGTATCACACAGCGTTCAGGAACTACAATCGCGTTGTAACAAGCATTGATATAAACAAGAGTTCTGTTTTCAGTGAATTTATACCCCAAAGGGGATACAAACAAATAAAATCAAAAACAAGAATATGAATAAAAAATGTATTATTTGAGTCCCAATAAAATGGAAAATAGCAATAAATTAATTTGCTATTTACAAAATATCTTCATGGAACATGATCTTCACTTAATGTCCTAATGATTTTTAGCATAAAAGAAAAATCGATAATTTTGACCCATACAATGTATTGTTGGCTATTGCTACAAATATACCCCAGCGACTTAAGACTGCTTTTGTGCTCCAGGGTCACATTTATATATTCTGCACGACTAAGAGATTGTCATGAATGTCTCACATCTGTTGTTGGTGTCTCTGGCTAGCCATTTGCCCTTGGGGCAGTTGACTGTTCGGATGATGCTGATGAGATCCCCACTTTTGACGGGAAGGTCGTACTTTCGCAGTTTGCTGTCCGCCAGCACTCTGGCGTGATACATGGGCTCTTCCAGTCCAGTGATCTATTGAGAAACATGGGAAATACATCAGGACCTACATTCACTTAAACCTATGTCACTGCATTAGATGTGTGTACTTGTGCGGTCTTCTTTAAGATAAATGCCAGTTAGTTTGAAATAGCATCTAATGTGCCGACATCCACTGAGTTTATTAAGTGTTACTTTAATGTATGCATTTGAATTAACTTTAAATTTCTTGTGCATTTCATTTCTCTTTTTATCCTTCTCTTTCTGTTCTTTCTTCTCCTTCTCCAGACGCTGCCTCTCTTTCTTCTTCTGCTCTTTATCCTCAAGATGTTCAGGGCTCAGCTGCTTCTTTCTGAAAGAATCACACATTTCTCGCAAGTCAGCTTCAATGTGGAAATTCAATTTATGCTTTTCATTACAAAATTGTTAAAAGACATATTTTCTTTTACAAAGAGAAAATTTGCAAGAAGCTGGAAATTAAATAGCTATAATGACATATCATTATAGAGCTATAACGTAACAAAACATAATACCTATCATGTTGGCCATTTTGATCGTCAGCTGCATTAGACCTTCAAAACACAGTTAATAAAACATATTTATTATTTCTTAAGCTGTGGACTGCATTTCACAAACAACAGTAGAGTTAAATAAATGCTGACAAACCATTGAGTGACATGCCATATATTCCTCCATGTTTCTTCTTTCTGTAAAACAAATTAAGAGATCAAGAGAACTAATATGCATTAAGTGTTAAGACTAAATATTAATAAGACTGCCGATGTTGGCTAAGACACATTAGAACTTTGTCCATGATCAAAAAGTTCAAAGCAAGGTTCTTTTTTTATCTTGCATAATATATAAAATATAATATTGATCTGTAAATCATCTATACATTAAATAACGTCAACTAAACTATATCTGTAATTTAATAAATTAATAAATGCCAAATATAAGAAATAATCACTCACCACAAGGCTGTTATCAGCATACGGATCTGAAAGGGAAAACACATAAAATCACTTTTTCTATTTGTTTTCTGTGAATAAAACTGTATTGTTGGCATAATACTCACTCTTAGGAGCTCCTTTACACTTATAAGAGCTTTGAGCAAAAGAAAACCTGGGGACTGTTTCCACATCCTCATAAACATTATCAAAGGTTTCATGGAAACACTCTTGTTGAGAAGACCTGAGGAAAAATATAATATAACATTTGTTGGCAGCAGGTCTGATTTGTCTTGACTGCAGTATAATGAAAAGCACAGAACTATATTGAGAGAATACCACCCTAGAGTCATACTATTCATAACTATTTCAGGAATATCCTACATAACAAGACAAATTAAACTCATGCTTTTACATTGGTTCTGATGGAAGCTGGTGTTCACTGCTCAGGTTGAAGGCCGTGTGTGATCCATTCAGTCTCAGGTCAGAGGTCACTGATTCTGTATTAGACGCCAGGGTCCCTACTTTTCTCATTTCCTCGGAGGACTGACTCAGAGCGTCTTCTGACTGCATGTTCTTTGGACCAAAATGACCCGGACAATGCTGGACCAAAAAAGCCTGTGAATGCAGGCCACCGTCTTCATCTGTCAGTGGAGGTGGAGGCAACGAATCAAACTCTGGAAACTCCGTGGCCCCTAAATCCAGGTTTATAGCATTACTGTCTGTGGCTTCTGGTGCAGAAATGTCAAAATCTGGAAATTCGGGGGGAGGTACGCGTACGCTTGCGTCCTCAAGTGATGCATTAGCAGTGGCCACAATCTCAGGCTCGGGCACAGATTCTGGAAAAAATGTAGCAAAGAACCAGATTGAAATCATTTCCTTGATATGAATGGATCAGCCGTGTTTCAAGCGGTTGTAACATGCCATTTAACAGATTTAAGACTGCACAGTACATTAATGCAGCAATCTGATTACCTTAATTCACTACTTCAGACTTATGTGCCTCTAGAAGCTTGCGTTCTGCAAGTGAACGTCGCTTTATTGTTCATCCCAAAGAGGAACAAACTCACTTTCACGGACTTTTACATTAACTGTTCCCTCGTGGTGGAATAACCTGCCCAACTCAGTCCGAGCAGCAGAGTCCTTAACCATCTTCAAGAATCGACTAAAAACACATCTGAAAAACTAAAAACTGACCCTCTAACTCTAGCACTCTCTATTCTAATTCTATTTTATCTATTAGTTTTTTTTTTTATAAAAAAAAAAAAACATGACCCTTTAAGAATTGAACTCTATTTGTTTTCTAACTGCTTGTTTTCTATTAAACAAAGTCCTTTAACACTAGCTTTCTCTATTCATTTTCTATTCTATCTGTTTTCTTTTGATCTATTGTCCGATCCTAACAAACCATGCATCAATGGAAAGCTTATTTATTCAGCTTTCAGATAATGTATAAATCTGAATTTCAAAAAATTGACCCTTATGACTGGTTTTGTGGTCCAGGGTCACATATAATTAACAAAACAAAAAAAAAAAACCTTGCTATGTGTACTGCGTTAAGCTTACTGAGACTTGTTATAGCACTTGCATATAATTGCTCTTTTGTTGATTTTGATTGCTTCCATTGTCCTCATTTGTAAGTCGCTTTGGATAAAAGCGTCTGCTAAATGATTTAATGTAAATGAAATGTAAAAGTAAAATGTAATTGATCCTGTGATGGCATAGCTGAATTTTCAACAGTCATTATTTCAGCATGAATGATTTCTGAAGGATAATGTGGATATTGTAGCTATTATTGTTGGAAATAGTTTTTGCTGCTAAGAATTTGTGTGATGCATTTTTTTCAGGATTTTTTTGATGAATAGAAAGTTAAAACGAACAGTATTTAGGCTATAAAAAATACATCTTTTATAACATTATAAATGCTTTTACTGTCACTTTTGATCAATTTAATGCATCTTCGCTGAATAAATGTTAATTTCAAACTTGCTCTAAATTTTTGAATGTTAGTGCATCACATTTTTCAACAAAATATTTAACATTGATAATGATTTCTGAAGGGTCAAGTGACACGGAAGACTAGATTAATGGCTGCTGAAAAATCAGCAAAAAAAAAAAATATATTTTTTTAAATAAATGTATTCAAATAAAAAAAAATTACAATTTCATAATATTAATGTTTTCATGTTTGTTCATCAAATGAATGCAGCCTTGCTGATAAAGAATATATTAATACATGAAAAGAATACAAGTCATGAATATAAAAACCTCTTTATGTTAAATCTCAGCTTTTTAACCTTTTCAGGGCTCTTACTGCAGAGAATTAATCTCACGGACACAGTATTCAGTCTAGCACTGAGGTAAATTAATACATGAGCAAAAAATCAAAAAAAAAAAAAAAAAGAAGAGAACTTCTACAAACCAACAGTAAGTGCTTCGCTTGGTTCACAGACATGAAATCCAGTCTTATATTTGCTCAGATCCACATGTGGGGGTCTAGGTGGCTTTAAGGGTGTAGGGCCTAAGGATGCCAGGTCAGGAAGAGGTTTGCATGCTTTCTGAGGCTGCATGACTCCACCGAGCTCCATTACAGAGATGCTGCCTAAAGTACAAGAACAGGTAATAAAGACACATTCCTCAGGTCTTACATTAAAGTAACTTTACATTCTGTATCATGCAAGGTCAAATTGCAAACATTCATATGCATCCACGTAAAAGATTGCACAGTTTTGCAACTCACTGTGTGATACTCCATTAACCTTCTGACAACTCTCAGATTCAGTAGGCGATGGAGGGCTTTCTGCGTGCTGCGCTTGTGCTTTACTGGAGTAGAAGCCCTTTGGTCTGCCACACACCAACAGGTTCCTCTGACAGAGCTTCCTCTTGGCTTTCTCTAGTGTGCTCAGGACATGCTGGTCAAAGAAATGCGTAACACTGCCAGAAGACGAATCTGTCAGCGACTCATTTGGTGAAGCTGAATGATCCAGCAATCCAGGATTTGACACCCTAGCCTGCTGGGCCTCCACGGCTTCTGTACTTGCAGTCTTTACGGTGGACTCTTGCATCTGAACATTAAAAGTGCCACTGTTTTTCACACGCCCCAGACCATTTTTGCCAATTTCTTTAGCGCACAGTGAAACTCTGGTCGAGCTGAAAGGTGTAGGAATTGGTTTCATGATGCATTTAAGAGGCGAGGTGATGCTCTTTGAAGGAGGTGCGGAAGAATCATGCTTTGGCTCGCTTGAAAGCGGCAACACGAGGGGCAAATGCCACATTTTAAGTGACTGCCTGTTGGGCCCATCTCCAGATGTTGTGCTTGGGAAACATACAGGGTGTTTTCCTGAAGGTGTTTTCTGGTCTTCTCTCACAATGACCCGGGGTTGACTGGCGGTCTTGGTTTCCACAGCTGAACAAAGGCTCATGGTTATCAGACCAGAGCGGCTTATGGCAGATTTTGGGAGGCGTTTGGGTCTCTCAGGGACCTCAGGTCTGCACCTCACCTGGATCTCTTCTTGAAACTTTGCCCTTAAGGATTTGAAATTGTTGCAGGCTTCCTATAGCCAACATAAAATCAGATTTAATCAGTTAATTGACCGATATACACAGTTAAGCTCACACTAATACAATTTAGTAGTGTAATATTCAAATAGGTAGGCATTTAAATGCATGATTATTGTTGCATTTAAATATAAAGAAAAAGTACAGCGGCATAAACAAGTACATATAAGCAAAATACACGATGCGTACTTTTGCCCAACAAACTCTATTTGGCAAAATAGGACACGTTCGACGTCTTTTCTTAGTAGCAGTTTGTTGTTTATCACAAACAGTTTGTTTACCTCTTCCATGTTCGTTTAAATTCTGCTTGGCCAAGCGCGAATTACATAAATATTACATAATATCTTCAAAAAAGCTTGCACAACGCGTCCAGACAGCGGAAGATCGTTCTTATCGATTGAATAAACCAGGCACGAATTTGCCTAATGAATATTAATTACGCTGCGTGTGCGTCGATCGGTAGTCCTATCTGATTGGATAGAATAGATACGTTAAAGAGCGGGCGCCAGTACCGGACAAATAAAATAACCTTCATTATTATATAATATTATATATCACTAGGATTATTTTATTTGCCCGCTACTGGCTCCCATTCTTATTTTAAAATCTTTATGCTTTATGTTGTCGACACCTGGAGACGCACACGCAACCTAATTAATATTCATGAGCCAAGACTTCCACAGAGTAGGATTTTATTTAGTTCTATTGTGTATTTATAGTTAAGCATCTCAATTAAACATGACATATTTCATGTAAGATAAGTAATACGGCCCAATAAACCGATATGAAGGTTTTTCAAAGGTATATTTTTAATGGCACATTGAATCATGTTGTGTTTTATGATTGATGTATTAATTTTTTTGTAATTCTCTCTTTTTTTACAGTATGCAGTGTGTGCAAAGTGAAATAGGTAAGTTGCAAACTGGTGATAGTTACTCCAATCGTTTATTTTGATTCAATGCAAGCCATCAACCTACTGTATTTGTTCATGATAAAGTTGATAACGTTTCTTGTAAGTCATGTATTTGCTTGGAGGTGGAGCATTCTGTGCAAAAGTCAGTTTTTTTCCCCCAAAAACCCTGTCAATCATTAATAATGCTGACAAACAATTTGTAGACTGGACCCAGAAGTCTCAGATCAATCTCAAACCAACTATTTCAGCAATGTGCAGATTTGTGTTTTCTATTTGTACGTTTGGATTTGTTTTATCATGTTTCAGTCCCCATATTTCTGCCAGATTTACTGATGACTTACTACAATCATCAAGCAACAGGTAATATATACTTCATTTTAGGAGCTTTTCGTGTTGTACCGTGTTACCATATGTTGTCTCGCCAGGGCTAATGCATCTTCAAGACACACCAGAGGAGTCGATAGCCCCGCTCCGATTGACTGTAAACTCAAGAGCTGGACGCAGTGGTCACCTTGCGATTCATGCCGAGATAGGATGGTAAAAACTCTTTAAAACCTAAATATAGTCATGTAAAATTCAAAGAGTCCAACAGATATTGAAAAAAAGTCTCTATTTTGTCTATTGTATTGATACATTTGTTAATTCTGGAAAGAAAATCGTGAGAAAAAAAAAAGTGTTAGCAGCCTACCTCATTTTTAATCCTTCATAAATTATTTTTACTTCAAAACTTTCTTTTTTTTGCCACAAAATTTAATTAAGTTATATATCTGTCATTGCAGCAGCGTTTGACATCACTAATACACACACACACACTCATATATATATATATGCTTCTGAAGTATGCATTTTTAAATTTTTTCTTTTACATGTATAATTATATATAATTTATATATAATTTTAGACATTTGCTGGGCAAACTGCAAATGTAGAACAGCTCTAATTTCTGGTGATATATGCAAAAAACATGCAACATGCAAACATTTTAATGTCATTTTAATTAAATCACGTTTAACTCTCCAGTATATGTGTTGCAACTGTTAACACACATATAAGCTGATGATAACTGAAAATAAATATGTATGATGTTACTGATGTTTCACAGATTCGTTTCCAGTACTTGGAACGAGCGTCTCAGTTTGGTGGTCAGAAGTGTGTGCACAGTCAGTGGGACGAAAGACAATGTCCAGAAGAGGGCGAGTGTCAGCTACAAGACAACCACTGTGGGGACATGTTTGCATGTGGGCCCCAAGGTTGCTATTTCTGCCTGCATTTCTTTCTACATGTTTGTCTGTATGTCTTTTGAATATATTGCAAACTGTATGTGTTCTCGCAGGACGCTGTGTTGGACAGCAGCTCCGATGCAATGATGAAATAGACTGTGTGAATCACAAAGATGAGACTGACTGTGAAGTGATAAACAGAAGAGAAACCAAATGCACCGGCATGCTGACTATACCAGGAGCTGAAAAAGCCACTCAAGGGTAAGACGTATAGCAGACTGATTTTTTGGGTGCTTACTGCTAAATATCAATAATTCAGTAATAACTGACATACTGTACAAGACCAAATGTATTGGTTTCACATCCAGAAAAATGACTTAAATCCACACTATCACGTGTGTGGTATATTTATATTTCAATATATTTTAAACACATACTACATGATGTATATGTATCCAAATCTCGAAATGAGTTTGTTTTATTTCCTCAGATATAGTGCTTTATCTGGTGATTTTATGAATCATGTTCTGGACCCAGCATACTTTGGAGGCGTTTGTGAATACATCTATAATGGGGAGTGGCGCAAACTCACATACGATCCTTTCTGTGAACACCTCAGTTATGATGATGCTGAAAAATATTACCGGAAACCTCACAACTTCCTCTCATATCAAATAATGGTATTATCTCATGTCTCTGGTATACTTTAATATCACACAAAAGAACTTACTTGCTGTTTCTTTCCCATTCATACTGTATACCTGTATATATATATATATATAGAGAGAGAGAGAGAGAGAGAGAGAGAGAGAGGTTCCTAGTCACTTTGTGTTACGTATATAAATAACTTCATAGTGCATATCTATATTATGGCTTCAGAAGGCTTACAAATGCAATACAAAGCATGAAGGTTATGGCATGTAGATTCTGAAAATAATAGAAAAGGGTGGTTGTCAGGGCTTAAAAGAAAAAACGGGGTACATATTTAATCTGACACTTAGCTTTATTAAGTGAAATGCAACCTTTCAGAATAAATAAACAGATTAAACACTACTATTTTGGCGTATATTGCTTTAGGGAGAGTGTAATTTAAGGAGAGACAACATACTGAATGTTTCATATTTTATTGCCATATTTAATGCTTTAAGGCCACCAAGTTGGTCGAGACTGTAAACATGAAACTACTGTGTTCAGTTTTCCTGCATTTAAACTCTGAGGCTGTATAGGGGACCCAACAAGTGTTGTTTTGGGGGTTTTTAATGGTGGATTTGCTGCTAACCTCATTTATAAAGATGTGGTTAGAACCTCTGCATATCTCGGCTGCCACATCATAATCAAAGGACACCTGAATCTTGTTTTGTGCTTTCTGTTTTACCTAAATTAATTTTAATAATATTTTTCTACCATAACCGTGCAGGTGGAGTGCTTTATGACACAGCCAAGTTGACTCGGCTCCTTCATTCTAGCATTTAATGTTAAGAAGGACTCTGGAAGCCTCAGAAGGACTGGTTTAGGAAGAACACAGCCTTAGAAGCACCCACTGACTATGTTATTGTCCCTGCCAGGCACAAGCGACTACCGAGGAAACATCAGATTATTATGAGGATGCTGTTAGCTTTCTCAAGGCAAGGCAGAGAGAAATATCCTTTAACATTGGTGTGACGATAAGAGTCGCTTTTGTGGAAGTTGGTGGGGAACTTAGTGCTGAATTCAAGTTTCTACGCAACATATCACAATACACTAATAAGGTAAAGTAATAAATTTTGGCTAATATATCTACTTAACTCTCTTTATTGTCACCACATACCAGCAGTGCTGGGTAGTAACTGATCACATGTAATCAGATTCCAAAAATAAAGTACTTGTAATTAGATTAAATTGCATTTTAAAATACTCACAATCAGACTACAGTTCATTTTTATTGATTACATGATTACATATTAATTACACAATAGCAATAACTTATTCATAATTTATTGATTTTTCATTTTTTACATTTTCCTTTCTCAACTAGCCTATGGTTTATATGCACTCAGAAAGTCATCCAGTTTTGTGGACATTCACACAGAGATGATCAGTCAAATATTGATTAAAGTAATTGAGTAAATGTAAGCCCTTTACATTAAAGACAACATGGTATGGTGATTATAATAATAATAAGGTAATTATAAAAACTGCGCTCACAAATGTAAAAAAAGTTCCAGGGGGCAAATATCGCCCCTTAATGCAAATGTTAATTTCTGACCCTGGTCTAGTAGTATTCAGGTACAGAAACTGAATAAAACAACATTTCACAGTATAAATTAAATATAGATTAATTAAAGTTACAAAAGTTATTCAGTCAAGAGCAGTGAGTGTTTTTCTCTCTGTCTTTTGTTGTTTGATTAACATTGACACAGACAGAAGCAGGTAGAGTATAGGCTGCTGTCACTTTAAAACCTAATACACGGATCCAAAATACTGATACGCATGCATTTCCTTTCATTCGTATGTTTGATTGGTTATCCTAAAACTGTAAACTTGTAAATTGCTCTCAGTTTGAGCTGAGTTTGACTCAACCGACTGCATGACTTCAACTCGTTTTGTTTTTCTGACCTCGCTATATAGTCTGGATAATGCCTTGGAAACTGCAGCATTTCGATTATTTTAATTTGTGCATGTCTTCTTTGCATGTTTAGGAGGTGGGCTTTGTCAGGCTGTTGTCAACAGTGCAAACAGCTCAGTTTAAGATGAGAAGCAGAGACTTGATTCTGGACGAGGACATGCTCTGGGCTCTGGGTGATCTGCCTGATCAGTATGATTTTGGTGCATATTCCCAGTTTTTCAATGAATATGGCACACACTATGTCACGGAGGGTACCATGGGTGGAGTCCTGGATTATGTTGCTGTTGTGAACAAGAATGCCATGAAAAGAAATGGTATGAAAATTATATTTACAAGCAAAACAAAATGAAGAGTGTATCAAAAATAAACGACTCACCTGTATTATACTAACTCTGTTTAAGTAAGAAAAACTAACTTCTTTACCACATTCTTTTCACTATTAGAAATGACTGGGTTACAAATCGGAGCATGCCTTGGTTTATCTTTGGGACTGACAGTCGGACAGAGTACATCAATTTCAGTAAAAGGAAAAGTATGTGGAAAAGTTGCAACAAAGATATCGAGTAAGCAACTTGGAGCACCATGCATTTTCAATTCTTTTGGTTTTACATTAAACTTATTAAATTCAACTTTTTTTTCGTATTATTTTTATTTTAATTTTCAACAGTTGACGATAAGTCCAGCAGTGCTATTGAGGATGTGTT